ATGGAGTCAACGATTGGAAGTAGATGTGTTTTATCAAGTAGTAACGGCTCCATCTTGTTTTCAGAGTATGTAACACCCACTGGTGAGTTTATAGACCGAGCACAGTAGTGTGGCCCTCTGGCCCTCTATGGACCTTTCGATTTTTCAATACTCTTTGGATCTCAATATTTTGCCTTGTAGATATTGGTCCTGGAATGTGCATGTGTACATCAATTCAACCTGGATTCATATAAACATTTTTCTGTTTCAATTAATATACTTACAGCAATTCATATACATATTTACTAACATATAATATACAAATGAATTATTAACCACATGTCCGCCTTTGTTTTGTAACTCCGTACGGCTAGGCATTGATTTAACTAAATTTAAGTTATTAAAATAAAATAAGAAAAATCTTGTCAAAGGTCTATCCTCAGCCTCAGCCACGAAACAGGTCCGTCTGTTCAAAAATACTTTATGATTTTTACAGGGATCGACACGTATTTTCACTAACAGATAGACCGTTAAAAACCGATAGTCAGATAGTAGAAAAGTCATGGATGCCCTCATTGTGACAGTTATTATTCAGTTAACTGTAGTACAAACTTTATGAAATATACTTTTTAAATGAATTTATTTTACTGACGAACTGGAGACGAACGTGTCACGTGTCTGGTGTGTACGGATAGACCCTGATATGATAATTCTATGCATGTATGTTATTTACGAATTTGTGTATGTCAATGTTGCTTCTATTAAAATTTTACTAAAAATTAATATTCCATTTACATTTTAGTGAGTATTTAGTGAGATTTTATAAGTTAAGCTTTGTTTTCACCGTTTGTATTGTTTTTCGCTTAATAACATAATCTTTACTACTTAAAATTATCTTCACTTTATTCTGCGTACATTGATTTTAAAGCATGAATAAAAGTAAGAATGAACCACACGATGCGTTGCGGGAGCGACGCGGTGAAGCTAAAATGCGCTGTGGACAAACAAACGCTTGATCTGGCATTAGAATTGCTAAGTTTTTTTGCTTTGCGGCTTAAGACCTTACGCAAGGTCCATCTTCTACGTCCCTTGTATGGCGTGTGCCTTATGCCGGGACGTACAAGATGGCTGGTATTACACACTGTGTAAGGCCTCTTACCCGTGTCAGCAACATGCGATGAAATATGTTACACAGCATTAATTTGAACCATGTGCAGTCATATCACGTCGTAACGGCAACGCTCACACGGAGCGACACCGCCGCAACGCATCGTGTGGTCTTGCTTTTAATATAGGAAGTATTCGCAACACGAATTATTATTTAGCTATATGACTATTCTAATTATTATTAACGAAAAGCGTTTTTGTTAATGCCATGTTTAAACGTCTATAAAGATGGAAATTGAGAAAGCAATCTTATATCGAAGATATCTTTTCCTTTAAACATTTAGGGTCTTTTAACGTTAAATCCAAATTTATGCTAATATATTTTATTAGTTTAATTGCCTTATTTTTAATGATAAACATTGTTTTCAATCCAAATAGTATGTCATCTGTGGCACAATATATCAGATTAAAATATGTGGTAGTGTTCATTTACCACGGAAAAATATTACATTCAAATTAAAATCTATCTTCTACTTTACACTAATCTCGACACTTAGAAATGAACTACTAATAATCTAGTTATTTAATTACCTAAGTAATCAAAATTGTAAGTTTAGCCCGATTTTAAAACGATTTGTAACACAATGATAGCATTATTTGCACAACTTTGTGGTTTATATATGCTATTTTACTTATGCTTTTGTATTCAACATGAAAACAAAAAAAAATTAGAGCGAATGAATGTCATATAGCTAAATTTATAAACAAATATAAAGTGAAACAATTTTTTCAATGTTTCTCAAAGTTTGCATGACGAAAAAGATTGTAATATTACTATCTAAAAAAATATTTCATCATACAGTGGTGTATCAGAACTACGAGAACGACGAAGAAACCGACGATCCGTATATGTCGAAGCAACCTTCAAGGATTCTAGAGAGAGACTTCGAGAAACTCGTACTCATAAATCGGACGAGGCCCACGCCTTGCGACCGAGAAATGTTCCTTTACCAGTTAGAATATAAGAATCTAGATGAGAAACTGAATAAGCCCATAAAGGACTGCGAAAGGCCATTTTACGCGCAACTGGTGAACTACACGAACATGATTTTACTAGTTGTTGACGCTATGTGCCCGAGAGTCGAGGCGTCTATTTTGCAGATCGATCCCGCCGAGGTGCAGTATAATGAGTCATTACCGTGTTTGAAACACAAACATCCGTTGTACAGGAGGCAACCAAAGTCTTGCATAAGAAACCATACTGAAGTAAGTTGTCAATATTCAATTATTGCATAATATATATAATTATGTATAATTATATTATTAGAAAACGTGTTCTTCCGATTACAGTTATTATATGTAATATATATAATTATGTATAATTGTATTTGCTTGTAATAATTACGACTAGTCATTGTTTTCTTTGAACGGTCGGCTTGTCAGTCGCAATAGCAGACAATTTTTGAAGATCGCGTCGCCTATCGGTCATAGTTCGTGGACGCCACGTCAGTCTTTAGTTCCAATAGCAGCTGCAAACAACGTTACTACAAAAAAAAAAACAGTTTGTTTTCGGGCCTGCAGCGCGATTGTCTAACTCTGGTGAGAATTGTTTGCCAGTGAGACACACCGTACTTGCGTTATGTTTTATCATGACGCTAATATTTTGTTACCTAAAATAAGATGTTGTTATAAAAAGATGAATCAACAAAAAAAAGACAAATAATAATCAATACTGATTCACTCACACAATGCAACGAAACCAAATGTAAAACGTCAAAACGAAGCTAACACTGGTTCCACCAAAAAAAAATTGAATTTGGTATTGAAACAATTACACAAAGGCGTTGCTGGGTGATTGCCACCATGTCTCTGATATTGCATTCTGGCATTCTTATCCCAGGTAACCTTGGTCACGGCAGGTGAGGATTTACTCGCGTAACTTTCGTGTAATAACTTTCGACAGAAGGTATTCGTAAATTTTCTCCGTGGTCGAAATTCGCCAGCTGCATTGCGCCAAGGCAATATCGCAGAAGCAATACCTTAGCACTCGTAATTTGTCTGTCTGTCATCCGTCCGTGAAATTAGAGCTAAGCGATTTTGGGCAGATTTTCCGCTATTAGTTGATTGCCAGATCCTCCTTCAATAATTAACATGGTGTATTAAACCAACTATAATTAGCTAACTATATATATCATAAGAATGTTGCAATCAAAAAAAATTTTACGTGGTAGAGCCATGCTGCAGCTTTATTAGTAGTATAGTTGTAGTGAGTGTAGAGAACCGGAGATCATTTTACTGGAAAAGAGGCATTCCATCTTAATCCTCACGGGTGACAACGCATCTGCATTTTGATTCGCAAACGAGGATAGATGTAGATGTGTATGGACCACAGCAAGCACTTACCATCAGGTGGACTATGAGCACGGTTTGTCACCCTATCCTATAAAAAAAATCATTGATAATGTTAAAGTAAATGAACTATGACAAGTATTTATACTTTATACAGGGTTATTTTGCAATAACCGGTCAAATTTTCTATCCTTTTTATCTTTTAAATTCATGTATCATATATATATGCGTTAATGCACCATTTTAATTAATTTTACTGCGTAAATCAGATTCAATTTGGGATAAAGACTTATTTACTCTTACTTTCAAAAACTGCAATAACGGTATATCATTATTTATATATTTGAACTTAAGTTTAAAATTTGGCTACTCGGTATATTTATTTTATTTTATACCAGTTTGGAAAATAGTGTCTAAGATGCGACTCCTGGATACTGTCATCGCTCTTTTCCTCCTATAAAGTGTGGCAATTCCAAAAATTCTTATTTAAAATTGTTTATAAGCTGAGTTATGATGATCCGTTAATTTGAATATTTTACTACATTTTTGTTATTGTGAACAAACAATAATTAGAGTTAAAAACGAAGAAAATTTTTTTAGCTTGCCTTTTAAACTGGCAACTAGATTATTTTTATTTATCTTAATTTTCAGTTATTTCTCCTTTCAGGAAAGCAACATCGATATGTGCGGACGCGGCAGCCTTCCTCGCAGTAATATGATGTGGATACCTTTAATTGCTCTAATGTGGCATTATTACTTGTCATGAAAAGAAATTGTTATAAATTCAAAATCTATAAATATATAAACATGTTACAATTTATAAATAATAAAATTCCAATATTCGAATTTCCAATATTAGAATTCGGTTAAAATTCTGATAATACATGAAATAATTTAAAAAAATTCCTGTAAACTAATAATTCAACATGTCGATACTACATATCACTAAGAATAGTTATTTTTTAATTACAGCTATTACAAACAAAAAATATTACAAACTCCCAAGGTGCCACAGACTTAATATCAGGCTTTGTGTATCAACAACCATATCAGAAAAATATTTTATATTAACCTTAGCCGGATGGGGTCTGATAGATTGTTAAATGAAAACATTGGTACAATAATTAAATTTAAATAGCTTTTGTAAAATAAAGGCTTTTGCTTTAATTTTTATTTTTAGAGGAATCAAATCGGTGTTATTTGTTGGTATCAATTATAAATTTTAACCTTTAGTTCCGTCCTAAAACGTTTACCATATTATTGTTTAACTCTGGCTATGAGAAATGTTACTTCAACTTTTTACTTTATCAAATATTTCAACTTTTTAACAATTATTGCTGTGTAAAATCCTAATATTAAGTACGATATTCATAGATTATAGTATTTTAAAATCTTTGTCTTTTATCTTGATGTTAGCAGATGTTATCTATTTACTTTCCTTTTAAATGAAATAATTTTTTATTTGGTATAAAATAAATATTTATTGTAAACTAAGCATTTTTATTTAACAACTACAACTCATTTCTACAACAACAGACAACGACAGTATACTAATTTAATGTTTTTTAAGATTCTTGCTTTTGTCTATTAATAAAGTCATTTATTTCAGATATAATTACTTGATACCGCTGGTGTCTTAATAGTGATACTTGTAACTGCTCCAACTGTTCCCCGCCTTCCATAAATGTTTTAAGACTGTGCATGGTTCCACCACCATCTCTATGTTCAGTAACTCTGTCTTGAGGGTAGTTGTATGTTCTTATTTTCTCATTTCTATTCATGGAACCAACCTGGAATATATTTAAATATAATGATAAAATAAGTAACTGTATAATATTGGCTATACTATTTAATTTTGAAATGCTCTGTTGAAACGTTTCTGATGTAATCTTATGATTTTTGATATTTCTTTTGTACATATTTTTTTTAAGTTTTCTTCACACTATTTTCTGCTGTATCGTGGGGGCAGTTTTTATACATAAATTTCACAATGATAAACATCCAGACTCGGAGCAATTATTTGTAGGATATACAAATACTTCTTCCGTGTGGGATTTGAACCCGCAGCCCACAGACATTGCTAAGCCACTGCGCCACAGAACCGTCAATATGATAATGACTATAGATATACAAATAGTTAAAAGTTAAAATACAAATTGTTGAATTTGTATTGCACAAGAGTTACCTACTTACATTTTTAAACCATTCTATAAACTCGCACTCATGTTAAGTACTTCACGTAATCTAGTGTCCTTAGCCTAGGTACTATATATAGTAGTAATATTTTATGATAGGGGCAATGATATGGATCACAAATTCCCTACTAACATTATGTCGCAAATTATGTGAAGACCGTGAAATCTAATAATAATTTTCAAAATACCTAAATAAATATTTTATTTTATCCATTAATCAATGTTTTGATATATTTTCTTAAACCTTATATTCTATATTCAAGAACTTTCTAGAACTTTCATCAGAATCTTATCTAGATATGTGGGGACAGCAATTGCTTGAAAATACAAGGAATAATAATAATTAAACACAAATATACCACCTTTACTGTATATTCGACACCCCCAAGTATATTTGACTCACATTGTGACTAATAAAATAACATCTTAATTAGTGTACTTTGCTTAGTTTCACAGAATCATGTCCTAATGTGATGTACAACTGTGGGGAGCTCAAATCGGATTGGAAACATATTCATACTGCAAAAGCAAGCAATACTGGCAAATTATAATGTCCTCCAGACCGAATTTCGCTCAAGCAAGTGTATGCGTAATCACAGGTGCACTCACTATTCCCTTACTATCATAGTCTGATGGGATGGTTATCCGACATGACAGGAGACAGATCAGGCACAGGACCAATTGCTTTACATGATTTCTGAGGCATGGGGGTGAAATTTCTGCTTCCGGGCTGTTACTGAAAAAGTCGTGACACAATATCTCAAACCGGGTTTCGAACCCATGATTGTTAACCATGTTTACACACCAACAAGGCAGTTTATAATTTTGGGCATCACAAGTAGCTACACAGATTTCCATGGAGACTAATGTTTTTGACACTTCATTTGTTATTATCATGTACATAATATGGAGAAAATAAATAGAAATTTAATTAAAAGAAAATGGAGTTTCTTGTAGAATTCTAATATTCTGACATTCTAAAATTCTGAACAGTCTGACATAAAATTTGAAAAGTTTGTAAGGATATTCTGAAAGAAGCTCACTAATATAATGAGGATAATGATGTGCCATGTAGTGGCGACGTAAGATAATCCACTACTCCATATCATGCCGTGGGTGTTGTAAGGGGAGACAGAAGGAAATGAAACGAGAAATGGGCAGCAGCATCTTCATGAATGTTACTCTCAACTTTGCTCGCTTGAGGTGACTCAAATAATTTAAAATCAAACATTTTGTACAACCGTCTTCAATATAAATTATTAAGAATAACTTAAAAACTATTGGTCAGACCTTGATCAAATTTATGTGGATACACATGACAAGCACCAGCTTTCAAATAAAAAAGAATCATCGAGATCCATTCACACAGAAAAAGCTATGAGGTAACACACAAAAAAAACATACAGTCGAATTGAGTACCTCCTCCCTTTTGAAGTCAGTACTATGAAAATTATTGCAAATACTCCCCATATAAGGAAATGTATGGGGGAAGCCTCTATATTTAACATAGGATTTTTAATAAGCTGTAAAAAAATTTTTAAAAAGCTGAAAAAATGATGAGGTAATAACTCTTATTCAAACTTGCAGATCACCCCGCTACTGATATACTATTCAAATTGACATTTAAAATTTGCCATTATATTGATTATTAATAAGTTGTTGATGATATTGCAACATGTTATTGAAAAAAAACCTCAGTATCTTGGGCATTCTTCTCTGAGGTCTTCTTTTCAGAACTAATGTAGATTTTGGTGTACATAAGAGCTTAAACAAGCCTAAAACTTTTTTTGTCTTTGTTTATCTTAAGGAAAAATTTTTTTAGCTTTCCATTATATCTCAAAACTTACAAATCCCTTACTTCTGGATCTAAATTTTGAGTTTAGTCTTTTGGAAACTACATATTTAATATTTAAACACTGCTTCATGTTTAGGCAGACTGATTCTGAATCAGTCAGATATAAAATAAAATTCATAACATTCCCTTCAAATGCATTATATAAAGCACGATGTGTAGCGGTTCCCCATTAGATGGAGTACCAATGACAACCTGGTAAGAGGTGCAGGAAGGAGAGAGCTATGTTCATTAGTGGATTTGTCATGGGCCTTTTTTTGTAGAATAAAGGTGACAAATATAAATGCATGAATGGTAAGTAGATGCTGTGGTCAGTAGACATTTTCATCTTTCCTTGATTAAGAATTAAAATGCAAGTGTTGTTACCCCAGAGGACTAAGATGGAGTCTCGTTTCCAGTAAAAAGGGTCTCTGGTTCTCTACAATCACTATATGAACACAGAAGCCTTAAACAGCTATTTTACGCTAGTATTTTGTGTAGAGTGTGGTCCTACCCCGGCCGAGCCGACCCATTCGTGTTACAACTAATATAGTTGCAGCGTCACTACCATGTATGGCAGTAATTATGATGATTATAAACCTGATAATGATGAGGCTCTTAGTTCTACAGATGATAAGCTACGGCAGTCCGTAGTTATATGCAGATAACTTAAACAAAAAACTACAGATATATTATACCGCCCCTGAGGATGAAATGAATTGCCTCACAGCCTGTATTTATACTGTCTCTAACTCTTCAATCCGAAGCACAGTAGTGCGCATTGCTGATTAGGGATAGATATAAGGAGTTTTAGGATATATTATAGGAGCTTTACCACCTAAAGGGTTGTATGGAAATTGCCTGCTATTATTTTATAAAATTTTCAATTTCAGTTTATTTAAAAAAAATATTTATAATGCTATTAACATTACTAATACTCTTGTTAATTACTCCAAATAAGGGTAAAACTATAGACAACCGGTACTCTCGTAAGGGGTGGGAGGGGAATGGGAGAGGGAGGGTTCAGGGGAAGCCCTGGGTACCCTTTCCCCAGTCTTGGAAATGTATAGTTTATAAGTAATATTTTTTTTAAAGTCATAACCTAACTTTTTTTAAATTGAAATATTGACTCAAAGTTACTTCTCCAACAGCTTCGGCACTGCGGGAAGTGCGGCCCCTTCGCCCACTGTAGCAAATCACAGGCACCTGTGTGAGCCATAGCAGTTGAGGCTGCGGAGGTGAGGGGCTGATCTCCCTCCGCGCCTACGGCTTTACAAAAACACTCTAGGGATAGGGCAGACAAGACTATGTGGAGTTGGGGTGTCCTGATTCGGTTTTAGTACAGATTCAACCTATTTTATCTATAAAGTCAGGTTGCCCTAAACTCTGCTATGATAGTGGTAAATGAAACAATGTAATGTGAATTGTTATAATTTTGTTTTCTGAAAAACCTCTTTGATTGCTCTCCACTGCGACTCAATTTGTTGTGTATGAGTCCCATCTTCGCCACAAATGGATTTCCTTGGTCCGAGTAATTAACTTTTTAATGGCCGACCCATTGCATTATATGTAATTTTTAGTGAAATTTATTTTTATCGTAATTAATTCAAAACGTATTTCCGACATCCAAATACAGTGTAAAAGAATAAAACTTAATCCTGACAAGCCTCCTAACCTGAAAATATAATTAAAATCAAGTACCGGACATCTATAGCCAACCCCAAATAAGCTTAAAATGCTTATGTTAGGAGTGTTACACAACTGTAGTTGAAAGCCAGATTCAAACCTGCTACTTTCCAAGTTTGCAGTCTATGTTATTTCAGAGATGATTAAGAAAATACAAATAGTTTTATAACAACAGGTCATGCTATATAAAAATTCAGAACAATATTAACCTGCAATTTCCTTTCAGAATTTAGTTTTGATGACTGCTCTTCTATCTGCTTTTGAAGCAATAATGTTCTTAACTTTTGCATGGCAATCTGCTTGTTTTTTATTTGTGATCTTCCTTCTTGGCATTCAACTACGGTCCCCGTTGGAGTATGTATGATTCTGACGGCACTATCAGTGGTGTTCACATGTTGGCCTCCTGCACCACTAGCTCTCTTAGTTTCAATTGTCAAATCACGCTCAGGAATATCAAGCTCTATTTCAGTGGGCTGCGGAAGAACTGCAACTGAAACTGTACTAGTGTGAATACGACCACCTTTCTCAGTAACTGGAATCCTTTGAACACGATGCACACCTGCCTCCATTCTCATTAACTCAGGAGCACCAAAACCTTGAATTAGCACTGAAGCTTTTCTTATACCACCTATGTCGGATTTTTCCAAAGATGCGACATCTACTTCCCATTCTTTAAAATTGGCATAAGCTTCATATAATTCAAAGAGTTCCCTAGCAAATAACATAGCTTCTTGTCCTCCGGCCCCAGCTGTGACTTCTACAAGTACACCACCTTCTGTTAAATAAGGCTCAAATAATATTGTTTGCAGCTCATCATCTATTTCTTTAAGGCGCTTCAAATATATTTCAGCCTCTTCTTTAATCAATTTTTTCATTTCTTCATCTTTACCATCACGTTTATTAAGCTCTTTGAGTGACTCAATGCTATCGTATAAGGAAATTCGTTGATCAAGAACATATACAATGGGTTTTATTTCATGGAGACGTTTCGTTTCGTCGAAAGTTCGGCGAGCCTTTGTATGTAGATTATCGTGTTCAAGCATTAAATTTTTGAGGAATGTCTGCACCGCTGGATCAGATAGATTAACATTTTGAGAATTATGTCTACAACTCAACAAATAATTTTCCACCTTAAATACCGATCTCAGATAGGACATTCGTGGCAAGGCCATTGCTTTTCGGAAAACGAGCATATCAATCAAAATATATACACAAAACAACACAGTTCACCATCAATTTTTGGTTTTCACACACTTATTGAAATAATAATCGAACTTATTTTTAAATTTTAATTTTGAGTTTTGACACTAAAGTTGACAATGACATAAGAATAGGTTAGAAAGTGACATTGACAGTGAGAAGAGCTTTTTTTATAACTGGCTTTACGGTTCTGGGTTCTAGCCTTTCTGATCCTGAAGTTACAATGTATAATATAATATTTATCCTTCATAGTACACTGCTTCACAATATATTGATGCGTCACATTGCGCAGCCCTTGGGAGATTTGGACGGCAACTTCAGTTAACAGACAGCTGACAGTTGGCGATGGTATCTCAAGGCGCCTATGAAGACAGACACCTTATCTTGAGAATCACATCACCATCACAGCACTTGTTTCACCGTTTTCACTAATAGTTCACATGCGCAAACACTTAATACACAAAATTGCCGCCGGTCAAGTTTCTACCAAAACCACAGTGAGAAGAGGTGTTGCCACCCTTTGAGAGTAAATAAGCGACTTACACTCTAAGCTGCTATTTTTTTTTTTTTTTATAGGAGAGGGGGCAAACGAGCATGCGACTCACCTGATGGTAAGTGACTACCGCCGCCCATGAACAACCGCAACACCAGGGGAATTGCAGATGCGTTGCCGGCCTTTTAAAAAGGAGTAGGCTCTTTTCTTGAAGGTCCCTAAGTCGTATCGGTCCGGAAAAATCCCTGGTGGTAAACTATTCCACAAGGAAGTTGTGCGAGGAAGAAAACATCTTCTAAATCGCACAGTGGTGGACTGCCAATCATCCAGATGGTGTGGATGGTATCGGGAGTTCTGCCGCGATGTGCGTTCATGAAATTTGGCGGCTGGGATTAATCCGAACAATTCCTCAGAGCACTCCCCATGGTAGATGCGAAAGAAAATGCAAAGAGATGCAACATCTCTTCGCAGTGCCAATGAATCGAGCCGATCGGAAAGGGCTCGGTCGTCGACGATTCGAGCCGCTCTGCGCTGGATGCGGTCAAGTGGAAGGAGCTGGCACTGGGGAGCCCCTGCCCAGAGATGGGAACAGTATTCCATGTGAGGCCGAACCTGCGCCTTGTAAAGTTGCAGGCGGTGTGCCGGCATGAAATACTGTCCCGCTCTGCTGAGCACGCCAAGCTTTTTAGAGGCCAATTTGGCCTTCTCTTCCAAGTGACCACGAAACTGCACGTCACTCGATATGTCGACTCCGAGGATACCGATACTGGCTGAGGCAAGAAGGGGAATGCCTTGAAACTGAGGAGATACGACAAAGGGGTTCTTTTTAGCGGTAAACGCGCAAACTTGTGTCTTCTGAGGATTAAACTGGACTAGATTTAGTCGCCCCCAATCCGAGACTTTGTCCAGCAAAGACTCGACTTCAGACACAAGTTTGTTCCGGTACTCGGCGACGTTTTCCCGAGAAATATTGGCCCGGCCGGTATATAGAGCATCACCAGTGCTGTCATCCGCATAGCAATGAATGTTACCAGTTAGCAACATATCATTGATATGCAGAAGAAACAGCGTTGGTGATAGCACACAGCCTTGTGGAACACCAGCGTTAATAGGCTTGTAGTCAGAACATGCACCGTCTACAACGACCTTGATGCTCCGATCTGCAAGAAAGCTGGTGATCCAATTGCACAATTTCTCGGGAAGCCCATAGGAAGGCAGCTTCGAAAGAAGCGCTTTGTGCCAAACCCGATCAAAGGCCTTCGCAATGTCCAGACTAACGGCCAACGCCTCCCCCTTGGACTCTACTGCCTCCGCCCATCTATGGGTCAGGTAGACCAGAAGATCATGGTAGTCAAGATCAAGGTACCGGATGAGCTGGCAGTTAATAATGGATTCCATTATTTTGGAGAACAAGGAGGTGATCGCGATAGGCCTATAGTTGGACGGGTCTGAGCGGTTGCCTTTTTTAGGGATCGGGTGGACAAAAGCTATCTTCCATGAATTCGGGACTACGCCTTGGGAGTAGGAGTACCGGAAAAGACGCGTTGGAACCGGTGCCAACTCCGGAGCACACGTCTTCAGCACAATTGGGGGGATTCCGTCAGGCCCACTCGACTTCTGGATGTCCAGGGAGAGAAGTGCTTTGCGAACTGAGCGCTGTGAGAATAGCACATCCGGCATGGAGCACTCACACCGCGGGATGGTCGGCGGTATTTTCCCCCCGTCATCAAGAGTCGAGTTGGACGCAAAAAGGGAGCCTAAAAGGTCAGCTTTGTCTTTTGCGTCTTGGGCCAGTGAGTCGTCCTCCCTGTGCAGAGATGGTAGTGATGGCTTACAGAAATTCCCTTGGACAGCCTTGGCGTGAGACCAGAATGCACGGGTTCCCGAAGAAAGGCGAACTAGTTTCTCGCCAATTCTGCCTATGTGCTCTAACTTTGCCTTGGCAATAACTCTTTTGAAGGACCTGGAGGCGAAGTTATACTTCTTTTTAAGTGTGCTGGTGTTTACATCCCGAGTCACCGAAGCCGCAGCCCAGGCTTGATAACACTCCTGCTTACTGCGCAATGCAGTCTTATAGGAGCGACCAAACCAAGGCTGAGATCTGCCTCCGATGGGTACCACAGATGATGGAATAAATAGTTCCATTCCCTGTAGCACCACATCAGTGACAGAGTCAGCAACAGCACTGGGATCATCCGGCGAGAAGCAAACCCGCCCCCATGGGTAGGATGCAAAGAAAGACCGCATTCCGTCCCAATCCGCCGACCTGTGCCAAACACGGCGGCAACCTGCAGAACGCAACCGCGAAGGGAGCGTGAGTGGCACCATACTCCGGATCAAACAATGGTCCGAAGAGCCGAGAGGGGCATCGACGGAAACCTGATATCCGTCCGGATGAGAGGTCAGCAGAAGGTCCAACAGGGAAGGTGTATGATCCTCCACATCTGGAATCCGCGTAGGCGAAGTAACCAGTTGTGTCAGACCATATGCCAAGGCAAAGTCATAAACAGATCTCCCCGCATGATCGGTTAAACGTGAACCGAGCCATTCGGCATGGTGGGCGTTAAAATCGCCAAGGATCACGATCTCTGCGGATGGGACCTGTTGTAGCAAGGAATCTGTAGCCATTTGGACGTGGTCGATGAGTCGGTCTGTTTCGGCATTACCGCTATGGGACCTATAGAGGCACCCGTAGACGCGCGGATGGTCGTCGCTGTCTACGCGTAGCCAAAGGATGGACAGGTCCGAACCTTCAAGACTGCCGAGGCGTCGAGAACAGATGTCCTCTCTAACATACACGCAAACTCCAGCCCGAGGCACAAAGGAGTGCTCCAATTTATACCCCGGGTAGGAGAGATACGAAATATCAGTCGGAGAGGAAACCTGCGTCTCGGTCAAAAAGAGCAAGGCCGGCTTCGCCGTCTCGAGATGGTAGTGGACGGCGTTTAGGTTAGAGTGAAGTCCCCTGATGTTGCAGAAATTCACGGATAGCGTGGCAGGGGTCGCCTTGGTACTGTTGCTCAGCTTGCCCCGAGCAGTTTTGTTTTTGAGCGGAATTTTGCCCCCCCCAGAATACGCGGGGCAGCCTGAGCACCCACGCTCAGGATTGGAATAACATGGTCGTGGATGCTCAGCGAGGGATTCTCCAGGGGTACTGGTACCCTCCTGGGGTAGTCTATTGTCTAATTCCGCTACCATGTTGATGGGGGGGGGGGGAATTGGGCCTCCGGCCACCTGCACTCACCAGACGAAACGCAGAAGCAGAGCCTCTACTTCACGCCGGTATTCTGTGAGGTCGTGGTACCAACCCGGCTCGAGCCGGCCCATACGTGCAACAGCAAAAAACTGCTGCAGGGCTCTACCACCGTTTAAAACCGCTACCCGATAAAGATCAAAGTTAATCCTATAATGTAAATAAATTGGGCCCGCTATTTCATTATCACATTGTCTTCATAAAATATGATGGTATTCATCAGTCTTCTAGTAATTAATACACTTTGTGGTCACAGGATATTTACAATTAATCGCTCAAGTATCCTTTCTCTTACAAAACGGATAATGTAATACACCAATCACCCGCGACTCTGGTGGGGCTGCATCGCTGATGTGGTATTAACGATGTATCGCTATCCCTTCCGTCCATATGACATGTGGTTGGTGACGGAGCGATAGATGAAATCCACTGCTGAGGTCAAGAAGGGTGGTGATTTTTCCAAGTGCTCATTTTTTCTAGTGCCATGGCCTCCGCATATTTGACTCGGGGATTAAGGGTCCATTGTGCAGGAATATATGCATTACTTGAGAAGGAAGAGAGTGAGGAGTATTACTCTCCTGAGGAGAGGTCGCCATTTGATGCTCGTGGGCCTATGGATATGTGTGAAACCGTTCCCTTAGCCCTGCCAATATGCAGCGAAAACGGAACCAATAAGGTTTTAATCAGTACGATGCCGATATAACCCGGTCACCCACGAGGAGGATATGCGTAGGTATAATACCTATGTAAAAAGGGCTATCAGTAAACAACAAACGAAACCATACGATGACCCGAATGGACAGAGCAAAAACTAAAGCCTAAAAGATATAGAAACACTGCTACAACTACCTAAAATTCCTCACAATATCGCACCCTTAGAACCGTCGTATACGAATTCTGTCAATTTTCAGATTTAACGTCACTATACGAATTTTGTCAATTTTCAGATTTAACGTCATCTACGCTTCTGTTATTTTTTACGTATAATACAATTAGCGTTAACGTAGACCACTATATAGCTTAATGACGGTATGTACTTTTAAGGAAGTTTGAAGCATTGTTATCGGAATTCTGTCATTTTTCCTTTTGTGCCAGTGGAGTACGCAAGAATTTCATTTATCGTCCGAGCAGAAATAAATCCTGATGAAAATTCTTGTTATTACGTTTTGTTTTTCTTGTTTGTTTTTCTTGTTCATAGTGCTCGTGAATACGGCAACATGTTAATGTGCCTTGGAGAATCTCATAAG